GAAATCTGGTCAAATAAAAATAATCATAAGAAAATTTGCATGAATAAAGGGCAGTAACAAAGTTTTGCTGAAACATTCTGCAAAAAATAAATTTCTTATCACTGCCATCACAAATGCTTCAAATTGTTGGCAGTAGTTTAATTTAAATTTTTGAAAAATGTGAGATTTGCCACCTGCTTTAGCTCAGGTATGTAAATGGTGAATTCCATTCTTTGAACTATCAAAGACATTTTGACAGTTGAATACAGAAGCTTTGTTGACCAACAATTTTGTTATTGTAAACATTGCAGATTTTCCATCAAGTTTTTGTGTCGATATATGAATTCATTACATTTGCACTGCTATATGTAGCGATATTTTTTCTACGTTATCCTTTTTGAGACTTCGGGTATTTTTATTGTACCTAGATTACGTTGCAAGGGTAATTTTTGTAATTGACGGACTTTTATTCCATTTATTTTGGATTTTAGAACCAGACACGGACGAAGATGATGATCCTGAGGACGTGGCTCAAGCCATGGATGAGCTCACTTTTATCATTCGGGAACAAACCCGTTATGACGACATGAAAGCCGACATTGAGAAACAGCTGGACGAATGTCGGCACAAGGCCAAAGTTTTAGAAGAGGTACAAAAATGAGCAAAGTTAAAATTTTCATAATATCCGGGGAATTCCGCCGTTTTCTCTGGCATTCGAAGGAAATTTCTGAATCATATCACGCTACTTTAGCTCGATTATTTTTCAGATTAAAAAAAATTTATCTTCTCATCTGGCCCAATTTTGCCTCTAGATTCGTTTGCTTTGCATCATCATCTTTTTTGGAGAAAATGAATGAACATTTTGGGATTTCCATGCGGATATTTTTTTGTCAACTATCTTCGTCAGTCAGACGTCAATTTAAGGATGAAAGATTTTTCAGTTGTGCAATTAACTTATCAGGCATCTTGTTTGTATTCTTCCAGGAATTACCGCAGCAAATAAACACCCAGGAGCAACGAGAAGTGTACATGTTGTTGCTGAGGGTGCATGAGTTGGAAATCGAAAGAACTGAGCTGCAGAGAGACGCTTTATTGAGAGAACATCAGCTGAGAAGACGGGATTTGTTGCTGGTGAGACACGAGATGCAGCGGAATTTGTGCGACCAAATCATCACTCGCCAACGACAATTGATCAGCGGTGAGTTTGACTGAGCTGCATCAAATATGTCTTGTGTGGCAAATATGAGGGCCATCAGACAGTGGTGCCAAATTCAGATGAGAGCTGGGACAATTGAGCGCCAGGGATGATGACTGAGATCCGCCCGAAAGTGAAAATAATCCCTGATGTTCATATTTCCATCCATCCAATCATTAAAAATATAGACACTACATTACATGTACAGTTCCAATTAAGTTGCAATTGTCACAAATTTCTGTGAGTTCCCCCTAAAAACAGAGTCATGCGCAGCAAATTTAATCTCTCATTTTGAACTAAAGAGCAAGTCATTTCTCATGTCAGCTTCTCAAGGAAATTAATCCTCAAAGGAAAAGTCCAAAATGGTGACTTAAAAGAACAGAGCC